GTCCGTGTGGCGAGCTTGGGCGCGCACCGGCTTCCCCGTGTTTCGCACAAACGGCCCTTGGCGGCGGGGCGCGGGGCTCGCCTGTCCTGGGGGGGCCGAACCCTCCCGCGTCCCGCCCGGGCTGTCGCCTCCCTCTCTGCACCTCAGCCCGTGGTGGGCACCAAGGGGTCCGAGCGCTGCCTGGACCTAATCCTGCACCTGCCGCCCCACGCGAAGCCAGATGTTCACATGCTCTCTCTGGCCTCCTCTGCCGATTTTTTTAATAAAATTTTCAGCACCTTCTATCAGATTCGACAAAATTCTCAATGTCCCCTGCCAGCCTTTCCTCTGTTGGGAGGCTGGCACCACCACCCTTTACCTGCGATTTTGGCCTTAGGTATTGCAAGATACGTGAACAATATATTTTGATGTATTTGAACAAAATCTTGCAAATTCACAGCCCTTCCCTTCTGAGGCACGTGTGGTCTGCGCTCCCTCTGTCCTGCCCCAGAGAGGAGGTGCTGAAAATCTGTCCCTCACAGTGTCCTGGGGGGCTACTCTGCAGCTAACGAGGCTCCCCTGGGCGAAGCCACATCCTGGGGCTGGTGTTGCAGAAAGCTGAGTGTAAATGTCAGCATCACTGACCCCTTCTTGGGAGATATGTCTCTGCTTCGGGTGAGGAGGGGCAGCAAGCTCCTTTCACACAGTCTTTGTGTGAACAATTAACCTTGCTGTACTAGCTTTTCTTGTTCCACCCTCCCATTTGTCCCTTTATTTGCCTCTGGGCTGTTCTTGCCAAAATGCTATCTGAACAAAACCCACTCAGAAAAGGCCTTTTGTAGAGGTCACGATGCAGGCTCAGTTGCAAGATGGCCCCTCCAAACACACACAGTTAGAATTCAGCGTACCTGCTAGGATGGAGAAGTTGGGCAGTGGGGATAGGAGGGGTCTAATTTGTCCACAGTCTATTCTGGCACTCACTGAAATCAGAACTTTCGCCCAAGCCTGGCTTTGGTTAATTCCTCTGTTGCCATCCCAGCGGGACGGCTGCACTGCACGAGGCCATTTCTCAGAGTACGGGCTCAGTGCACAGGCTCTGTGGTGCCAGGGTTTCCTAGGGACATGCTGCACCTGCAAGATCCTGCACGTGCCCTGTTCATAGTATCATAGAATCATAGAATCATAGAATCATAGAATGATTAAGGTTGGAAGGGACCTCCAGAGGTCACGTAGTCCAACCCCCCTGCACACGCAGGGTCACCTAGAGCACGTGGCACAGGACTGCATCCAAGCGGGTTTTGAAGATCTCCAGAGAAGGAGACTCCACAACCTCTCTGGGCAGCCTGTTCCAGTGCTCTGTCACCCTCACTGTTAAGAAATTTTTCCTTAAGTTCCTATGGAACTTTTGGTGTTTCAGTTTCTGGCCATTACCTCTAGTTCTGACAGTGGCCACCACGGAAAAGAGGCCAGCACCATCCTCCTCACTCCCTCCCTTGAGGTACTTACAGAAACTGATTAGATCCTCTCTCAGCCTTCTCCTCTCCAGGCTGAACAGGCCCAGCTCCCTCAGCCTCTCCTCATAAGGCAGATGTTCCAGGCCCCTGATCATCCCTGTGGCCCTGCGCGGGACTCTCTCCAGCAGCTCCACATCCCTCTTGTACTGTGGGGCCCAGAACGGGACACAATACTCTGGATGCAGCGTCACTAGCTCTGAGTAGAGGGGCAGGATCACCTCCCTCGACCTGCTGG